CTAATTGGTCGAACTGGTTTTCCACGGAGCCAATGTGGTCAAGCTTGGAGACAAGCTGGTGATGCTGGGAGTGAGGCTGGCGAATGTGGTCGAACTAATAATCCTGGTTGTGAAGCTGGTCATGCAGGGAGCGCGCACGCCAAGGTCGGCAGAGGTAGCCGAACTGGCATTGCTGGGAGCGCGCGCCAAGGTCAACTTAGGCTAAAACGAGCCCACGTCCTCATCTTTGTCCTCTCATTTTTGGTAGACGACCGGGCGCGTCAGGCGCGCTCCAAGCTACCTTTGTGTGCGAGAAAATAGAGAGAGAGAGCGGTATGACCGGAGAATTTGAGGACGCGTTTGGCTATTTTGGACAGATTTTCGAGAGGACAACTGTGTGCGCGTTGTTTGGCGACTACTTGAACAACGGTTCAAGTGAAGCGGGTTTTGAGGAGACAGCGAGCGGCAGTCCGTTCAGTGCGGGAAGATGTCCGACGTCCAGATTGAGGCGTCGCTTCATGTCTTCTAACGTTTGTGTGCTTGTGAATGACGGTGGTGCCGAGGAGTATCGCCAATGCCATCCAAGCCACACAGATTTCCTCGCCTCTGCCGACCACGTAAGTTGCCGCTTCGCCCTCATCACTGGCGGGACCCAGGTTCGCTTCTCACATCCGTGTAGCATTTTTTTTGCTATTGCCTGTTTTTGGCACCTGTCTCGTATGTTTTGTGTTGAAAGACAAGCAATCTGGTTTTATTAACATTGTTAACTTTGCACCGAGAACCACTGTCTGTGCGTCGCTTAGTACTGTGTCAGCGCCGAGGATATGTAGCATCTGAGTTCATGTGAGGCGGCCGCGAGCACGAAAATAATAAATTGGATGCCGAGTTGACTTTTCTGAAGAGCTTGGCTTGTTTATCCCGTGTATTAATTTAAACAGGTTAAACTGGTTGGGAAGTCCACCAGCATGACCACCATGCCAAACTGGGCATGCTGCGGCAATAACCCAGCTTGAAGCTGGGACCAGATTAACCACCATGACCAGTATAACTAGATGAACCACCATGACCAGTATGACCAGATCAACCAACATGACCAGCATGCCAAGCTGGGCATGCTGGGGCAATAACTCAGATTAAGCTGGTTTTTTTCAATAGGGCGGAAGGGGGAGTTATGAAGGAGGAGGAGGGTAGGAGGAGGAGAGGGCGCAGACGAAAAAGAGGGGCGTACCCTCCCCGCCTCCTCCTCAAGAGCTGTGGTTTCATTGCGCATTACAGAAATTTGTAAACGTCTTTCACTTTTTCGTTTCCCTTACTCCGTTTACTTCACTTCATCATTGCCATAGCAGGTGAGGTAATTGACATTTTACATTCTACTGTGTCCTTCTCCCCAGAACGACGGTTCAGTGACTCGACATCTCGTTAAGACAAGGAAAGTTCAGCAATGGATGCTGTAATCTGGTGCGTGTATGAGGCGTCTGTTACCCTTAAGGATAAACCTTTAGACACACCTTATGATTTCTACTTTTTATAAATGAGCTTTTTGCTATATGTGCAGTATTTTTCATTTATTGAGAAACAACACTAAGAACTAATGTATGAAAATACTTTTTTTTTAAATATGCTTTGCTTCCCTTACTACCAACACACATCAGTTTTGTTTTGATATATTGGCGTGTTGTTTAATATAACAGGTGAATATAAACATTTTGGGCCATTTTTAAAAAATCTGCTTCCTTAAAAACACTTGGAAATGCGTGACAAAACACGCTGGATAATTTAGTGGAATATAAAGACCTACTGAAGCGGTATTTAGTTTGCACTCTCGTTTTAAAGCTTTCTGTACACAAGTAGGGCTTTTACTCCGTTTAGGCCTATTTTTCATAAACTTCAAGGTGTCATAAAATGAAATGTGGCAAAATATCTTGGAAAAGGTATGCTTACACCGTTAATATTAGCTAGAGTTCTCAGTTTTGGGATAAATCCCCAAAATTACGCAAAAACTCCCGGCGGTAAATTGTAGGTCAATTCAGATTTTTTTTCCGGTAAACACCAAATTTCTATATGCCAGTGCCCCTCCCAAAATGAAGACGTATTTTACAATTAAGCTTGATCAGCACACATGGTCAATGGTTCTGGGAAAAGGCCACCACAGTCAACTTTCTAATCTCGGACCATTAAAAGAACGACTCCTTCGGATTACATAGTCAAGGTTCGTTCTGTATAACACGTAATTGTACTTTTCGGTCGCGTCAAAAGCCACTGTTTTGGTTTTTAGTTTGGGGCATCATATCTTTGTTTTAGAGGAAGGAGAGCTCGGTGCTTATGTAACATTGATTGCTGTGCACCATTGAGATTGCCCAAAATGGGCAAAAAGGGCAGCTGAAACTTCTCTTTTACAAACTTTACCACTTCACCTCGGTCGGCCACGGGGTAGGTTGATGGAATAAGGTGGGATGAACAAGAGGTTCTCAGCAAAGACTTCCAGGAGTTTATTGCCTTTAAGATACCGACGCTTATCAAAGCAACACTTGAGTGGAACTCTTGTCGTTGGAGGAATTAGTAAGAGCGTTGGCACGAGCGCGAAATTCAGCTGAGAATATATAAGGTTGCAAATGTATTCCGATATGTAGATGATTTTCTGGTTTTGTCAGATGCTGATGCCTTGTCCTTCCTTTCGGCAACGACTCGAGTTTTAGGCATTTTCCTTGATTGCCTTTGACTCATGCGGTGCCTGAGGCAGGATGTATCCGATTCTGGGACTTGATTTTAACTATTTGTCGAGGCCATTTTTGGGGGCTATGAACCGCATGCTGGAAAGCCGCTGTTGCCCTTCGAGTCAGCTCCCTCAAACATTGTTAAGCGGGCAATCGCGAGGACTTGCTATACACATGCGCTGCGGAGGTCTTGTTATCACAAAATCCAACATAGCTGTGACAAGAAAAGTGAACACCTCGCAGATGCTGGATTCCCCTCCTTCGCGTTAACAGTGGTCGCCGAGTCTCTGCTCAAAGATATCAATGGCAGTGACAAGTGAAGAAGAGGTCAACAAATGAAAGGGAAAGAAGAAAGTTCGTTCTCAGTCGCTATATTCACGGCACGGCCCACAACCTAAAACGCATTGCGGACAGGTGTGACGCCGACGTTTTATCCTGTGCTCCGGACAAGTTTTCCAGGTTCTGCGCAACTGCTAACCCCTCTACGAAAGAGGCCACGGCTTGCAACATGAGGCATCGGAATCACTTCCTGGCGTGTTCTGTGGGGGTGGTTTATTCTCTTCCTCTGACGTGTGGCAAGCGTTACGTTGGCCACACGAGCCGCTGTCACAATTACAGGTTAAGAGAGCACGCTTAAAGTGTCTCCACAACCGTGTCTGGTCATGTGGGCGTTCATTGCCGTGACTGTGGTTGCCTACCCTACTTCGAACGGTGTGAGGAAGCCTCACAAGGACCAGCTCACTCGTGAAAATCTGGAGGCTGATGAGATAGCGAGGTTGGACGCTGCATGGGTACGCAGTCCATCTGTGGCCCTACCTGGCAAAGAAATGAATTTTCTAGATCTCTGAGTTTCTTGTTCTTGTTTTTTTTTAACACGTGCTCGGTACAGCTGTGAAATAGCGCATTTTTATTTCTTTATTTTTTGTTGGTGATGATGGGCAGAATTCTTACTTTAGTTTCTTCTCTTGTTGGTGAAAACGCAAATATATACTGCGATTTTTATATCAATAAATTCATTTCTAAGTCAGCGCTGCGTCCGTCTTTCCTTTTCGTTTAGTCCTCGTCTTTTCGCGCTTTTTTAGCTCTTAAATATTATTTCAGACTAGAGTGTTTTATTTGTTTTTAGTCGTTTTAGCTAGCATGCCTTTACACCCAAATATTACTTACCCATTTATTCATTTTCAATGGGATTCACCGCGAAATTAAATTCCGAGTTTTAGGGAAATGGAAATAAAACAAAAATAAACTTCGGTAAACTCCGAATTTTCGGCTAAAAATAAACGGCGAAAACCGCCCTCCAAAGTTCAGGAAAAATAAACTCCGAAAATACACAATTCTACCAATACCACATACAACTCTACTTTTTTTTATTTTAAATCGATTCGTGAGGTTAAAATTTAGGCCTGGATCGTCTGGCGTGGAATCACACTCTAGGCCAACGAGCCCCTTGCAAACAAGCCCCGACCAAGTGTGGGCACAGCCGCAGTTCCCGGACGAGAATGTTGGCACCACGCCACCGCAGAAACCAGATTCGCGTGAAGTAGAGCTCTGCGCATGCGCCCTGCCACTACCTGCGGCGTGCCGCCAGGGCCGCGTGTTAGGGTACACAAATTAAAGTGCAACTTAGGTATGTACCAACTTGTTTAGAAAAATGATCCGTTTAAGGGGGGGGGGGGGCGATTTATATTTCATCTTTTCTCTCAAAATTACCGTTTAAAGGGGGTGCTACCTCTATAAAGTTGCGACTTATACACGGAAGCATTTATTACGGCAAACATCGCAAAAAACGAAAACAAGACATTATTAATTTTCATAATTGTACCACTTCAATTAAAAAAAAAAGAGAGCGACCACTTATACAATTATATATTGGCTTAAGAGTGCGGTTACGAAAACTGGTTATTTTTAGTTTTTGCAGATATTAAAATTGAGAAGTGTTCCGAAAAGGACTAAGTAATCGCAGCCCCAAAAATTGTCTGTCTCGTCTGTGTACGGTCATATTCGCAGTTACCGGGAACAGGGGAACGCTTGGCATCAGACGCTATCGGAGCAGTCGGCAGGGCAAGGCTGCAGTATAGTGATTCGGACGGTCTGCAGTTTTATGCTGGGCTGGTAGGGTGTTCTGGTAGTACCCGAGAGCACGCGCACTTATGTTCCTGGTAACGGTTATCGATATAGTATTCTTCGTGAACAGTTGGACTTTTATAAAAACACGTAAACCAATGTCAAATCCCGGAACTCAACGGGGGCGCTCGAAACTTAATCCTTGTTTTGGAGAAAAAGAAGATGGAGTAAATGTATACGCACCTATAGCAATGAGCAGCAGTTAAAACAAACTGGTTGCTTATTAAAACGCCACCACATTTGAATTGGTCGTCTGCAGTATACAGCCCCACCATCCACGGCCAGTGGCCAGGAGTCGCCTTGGTACCATTAACAATTCGCTCAGAAACGGTATCCTGGACTCCTCGTCGTCCACATATCTTCTTTAAATCATCTTTCTCTTTCCCTGTGTGTCTTGAGCATACCCCTGCTGTAAATGGAAAGTAGGAGATAACCGTGTTTATATGATGATATTTAGGCGGTTTTAATTTTTATTAATGACTACTTAAAAATAGTTTGGGAAAGTTTGTTGGGCTGAGGTGGTTCAGCTCACTTCCACTGCTTTCGGAGAAATTCAGCGGTGCAGGAATAATCAAATGATTCCACGTCAAGTAAAGAAAAATAGTTTCGAACAATATCACGAGACTCGCCGTGAAGGTTGACATCGCTTTCTTAAGAGCTATAGTCGCATTTTGATCAAATCCTTCCTGTTACATTTATTTATATTATAAAATTTACGTATCTTGGTGCGGTTTGCAGAGATACAACAGATAAACAAAGACAAAAGCAATAAACCATGAATGAGATTATTTTCTACAGCAAAATCTTAAGCAAGGTATAGTTTTCTGAAATAAACGAAGAACACATCACAGTAGAGAAAAATTGTTGTCGCGATGCCACCATTATTGAACATCTCATTGCGGATTATTTTAAAAAGGCCCCGAAAAAAAAAGAAGAAAATTAACAGTTTGGATGGGACACGCGTGTTAAAAAATATATATATATATATATTTTATGCGGAAAAAAAAAAAAACAAGAAAACATTTTAGAGTAATATTGACGGCGCCAGGTGCGGTTGTGTCGGCAGTCACCTCCTTTCCACTTGTTTTTTTTTTCTCTCGGCATTTAGGGCGCGTGGAGGAGAGGTGGATCGGCTTCGCCTTCAGGACCGAGTTGGTCAATCCGGGAATACCCGTGACGTCATAGACTTCGCGCAAAGAAGTCCAAATAAATCTTTCGCTGTCATTATTGCTCCAAACTATTTTTTGTTGATAAAGTATATTTGTCGACACGCGTTTCCCAACCAGACTTTTAATTTTTTTTTTCATTTCAAATGCCCTGTAAGGAAGTGTAGATGTGAACAAAAAAAGGTTGGTCGCACTGTGTTATCAAGTGCACATTCTATAACTGAGACCTTTCTAAGTACGCTATTTTCTTTGTGGAAACTTTACTTTGTAATACGTGCCCATCTAAGCACTCTCAACTTTTTTTTTTTCATTTAAGCCTTTTGTTTTTAGGTGCCCATTACAAAGGCCACAATGAATAAATGTGGTACAAATAAGCACACTTTCAAATCTGTGATTGTGTTGAAATGAGCGCAAGAGCGCTGTATGAGTCACTTATGCCCGAGTCCCACAAGAGCGACAAACAGAAACAAAAGGGAGCGACAAGTCTCAAACACAGGTAGCATGCTCACGATGGTACTTTTGGCAGGCGTTTAGTCGTTCGGTGCTCGCGAAGTAAGCACGTGTGATTGCAAGCCTGCCAAATACGCCCTCGGGAGCATGGTGCTCGTGTTTGAGCATAGACACCTTTATTCTACAAAGCCTGTCAAATCGCGAACGACTCTGGATTGGGGCCTGTTCCAGTTTGTTACTGTTTGTTGCTCTAGTGGAACTCGGGTGTCAAAAAACCGAGTTGGACATGATACAAACTCGCAACGCATTTTGAGCAGCAATCAAATTACTTTCAGTATCCATGGTCTTGAATAGAACACAAACAAATTTCGAGATGTAAAATAACTATTTTTCCAAATATTTGACAAGCTGAGAAGCAAGTGATGAAGTTATATATATTTTTTTTAATAATAACGAAAATTTAGTCCCCTCACTTAGGCTTTTCTCAGTAAAAATCTAATTCTCCGGTTATCCCTTTAGGGGCCCTTCATCACCTACGCAAATGACTTCCCCTGGGAAACCTAGTTGCCCAAAGTTTAGTTCACTTCACACGGATCCTGATTAGAAAAGTGAATTGGAGAATGTGGGCGAAGGAGTCCTAGAATAATTATGGCGTGGATGGGATTCAACTTAATTTAGGCATGACACCTGGTGTTCCATTGTCCGTCGGTAGGCCCGCTTCATAAACCGTTCGGATATGAGAGCTCAGAGGTGTGGCTTCTATAACCCAAGAAACGCGCAACTTATTTTCAGGGCCGCCCCTTCTTTTGATTGTCTACGTGCTCAGTCGAGCTGCGTGTTATCGCCAGAAAAACAAACGCTTGATTTATATTGACACTACGGATAAAGTCAAAAACGCAGAGTGTGTTTACGCGCAATTCTTCGGTGTTTGTGATAGACATTGCAGTTTCTTATTTCTTTGGTTATTTCATGCTATTTTATTCCAGCTCTCGTTTTTATGTGGTTGTGGGCAGGTCTTTTATTTTTCGTTTTTTTGAAATTTCATTGAACTCATCGAATGTGCACGAAATACCGTCGAAAGCCGGTGCTCGCGTTGAAACAGTTAGTACACACGACCGTAGTAGAGTCAAAGTCACCTAGCTTTGCGTCTATAAAAAGTCTAGGGCAGTGGTGAATATGCAGAAGCTCGCCTGCCCACTCACAGTAATTGCGTAGAAATTAGTTTTTATACTTTATTTAGATATATGCATGGGCGTCAACGCAACAGCGAAATCACATAATTACCAATAAAATGATAACGATTAATTGGGTTATAATTTTAATCAATACCTGGTCCCACTTTAAACATAAAACAGGTTTGCCCAAAGTTTTTGAATTTAAGATCACTTAATGATTGAAATAAAAACACTCCATACCATTTTTAAATTTGAGCGCCTAACTGTATTAATGGGGGAACCATTACAAATATATTTTTGACATCTGACATTCCTCACTAATTTTCCACGTATGTAGCAATTTAGTTGTTTTGCTCAACGCAGTATCTGTATACGACAAGGAACATTGCATTATAATTAACGCTAACGGTTATCCGTGAAGGTTATGGCAGATTTTCAACATTCAATTATTCACGCTTGGTAACTGATACTCAAACTGCAGATTCACTTAATGAGCAACTTGCAGAATATACCAATTAAAGCGAAGAAGGGGGGAACTCATAACGAAGATACGTTTAGAATTATGTCTTTCCGCGTTTGTATATGGATGCCGAAAACATTTTTTTTGTTGCATTTCTGCGCATTTTGTTTTACTCTGCACTGCAGGTGGATCATCGTTTGTCCTGCTGTTTTGCAGCTAAACATTTGCTAAGTAGCCAACTTCAGGTTTCAGCGTACACAATTTATTGAACAACACGGAAGCTTGTTGAGAAATCAAATGTCAAAGGGCACGCACAAATATGGAAGGATCAACCCTTAGACCTTTTCGCTTGAATGCTAGCTTTGTGTTAAAGATACGCGTAATGTTTGTTTGTTTGCTTTTATTTTATTTTCAATACGGCACATTTGCCGGAAACATTGTCTTCCAGAACATCCGTTCTGCTCGAAGCCAATTTCTCATTCCGTAACCCAGCGCTTTCATCTTCACCGTCTAAATAAATCACGCACGGTGATGGGTCGCGTCCAACGCTTACTTTCTTGCGTGATTTGGTTCAGCCGGTGATTTCAAACGCACAAAAACGACGAGAGCCATGACCATGCACATTTGGCGGTGCACGCCTGGCTCCATCGGGTCGTAGCGTTGGCTGGGTTGGGATTAAATCTAGAATCTAGCACAATGTACTATTTTCAGTCTTGCAACTTAGGGATTAGCGGATAGCGATTGTACTTTGAATTTTGTAGATATTAGCTTTACTTCGTTTCAGCTTCGGTCCGAGCGCGGCCAATGTTATGAGACGAAGGGCCAATGAAACAGCGAAAAAGGGACAACATCACGGCGTGCTCTCTGCAGTTGATAGGACCAGCCGGTATTCGCCGTCTCTCTGTGCGTGCTCCTTCGCCGGCTAGTCCTATCTGTGGCAGGGAGCACGCCATGACGCTGCGCTTTTGTGCTAATTGATTGGTCCTTTGGCTCATAACATTGGCCGCGCTCGGGCCGAAGCTGAAACGAAGTAGTGGCTCATCGAAAGAGACCCTTGAATTATTGGGGGAACATTCTGAATCTTTCTGACCTTTGGGGGAGCTTTGACCACTCAAATATTATTCTAGGAAAATTTTGGTCAAATTTTACGCATTAAGGCCCCCGGGTAAACTTTTTTTTTCTCAATCCACGATTAAAGTTATTTTTGAGGTTTTAGAGTGTTTTGGTCATTGATCGTGAGAAGGAATGTTTACTTACCGAAAAACGTGCTGACAATAAGCATGAAACCGAGTTGAAATGAGCTCATATTTCCTACCTACAAAACACGCCGCTTTCGTTTTTGAGCGTTTAAACCAGGTTATTTATTATATCTAAACAATCTATGAATGAGAGAAACCTCTGGCTACAGTTACGTACAGTTATGGAGATACTAAAAAGCCTCTCGCGAGTGGGCCTCTGTTTTTTTTATAAGCTCTTGACATCTGACATACGTCCGAGCGAGCGCTGACGTCAGGACTCGCCCATCCCGAGCAGATGGCAGGGAGCCAATCAACGCAAACTACCACTATCTTCTGTGCCTGGGTAACCGCGATTCGGAGCCGTATGTGTAGAGAGTTTGGCCATTCGTTGGGAAGTATAGGAGACAATCGAGGAGGCGCCATCGGTCGAAAGCGGGCAGGGTGTGTTGCAGGGCGTATTATGAAATTTGAATGTGACCAACCAGAAGCCGGAAATAATACCCTGGCGGTGGTCGCGAGAAACGAACCTGATGAGTGCATCGGAGTAACTCTCGGTGACTGAAAATATGGTGCACGTGATGCTTCAATCACGCTCATCCAAAATGATGGTGGAAGAGTGCGACTAGCGGAACGATCGACATAATCCTTACGCCAAGCGCCGAGGGCAGGGAATCTGCCGTCCGAGTGGTCACACTCTGTCCGAGCAAAACAAAGTTGAGCGGCGCATTCGTTTGTTACGCCTTTCTGCATGATCATGATCGAAACATAACCTGCACCCTATTTTCAAACACGAAGAGCTACTACACTTCACTCTTACGCGCTTATTAACACCATTTACGAACATATACCCTTGGATCAGAACTTTTTCTCGCTACCACCTCTAGGGGATTCTTTTTCAGCTTCGGGTTGGTCAAGAGACCATGCCAAGCCCTCTTCCGAGTCTGGTGCATGCGTGCCCCGGCTCTGCCCGCGCCTCCTATTGACCAGACTCTCTCTGTTCACGGCTCTGCTGCGACCAATGAGGTGAGGGGCTTAGAGTGATAAACCGGAAGTTCGGAAGTGGCACACCCCCCCCCCCCGGTTGCCGCCATGTTTTACGCAAATGTAACTGCTCGTCATGTGACCTCCCAAGAGTCGTGACTTCACAGGTAAGGAGGCAGCGCCCAGAGCTGGCGGATGCGAGTTTTTTTGGTGCGCGTTAGCCGTGATGTGCAGAGGCTTTCCGACGACTTCGGGCTCTTTCGTGCTCGCTGACGCAGGTATAATGTAAAAATATGAAGGAATGAGACTTTATACCAATTTTGCGCAAGATCGTTCTGGATCATCTAGATATTAACACCTGTGAGACAGCATCAGCCGTATCGCCGTACCGGTGCTCGGATTCGGAATCTGTTCGAGGATCGATAGAACTTTGAGCGCTTTTAGTATAAACTTTTCGAGTTCTCTTAGCTTTGTTTGAACGTTGGAATGTCTGAAAATCAACGCGAAATGCATTTGTCGAATTTAGGACCTAGGGGAATATGTTTCAGCCCTAGATAACTGCATAATCACAGCAACTTTTAGCGAAGAAGCTCCTGCGATCGTTACGTTTTTCACTTATCAACAATTTTACGATATAACTTCAGGCATAAAATATTCGCAATTTTCAAGCTTCGTTTGAACGTTGGAATGTCTGAGAATCGAAGCGAAAGGTATACTCCGCGTTAGGGCTTAGAAAAAATTGTTTCAGCCCTGCGTCATGGAATAACTATAGCAACTTTTAGCGAGGAATTTCCTGCAATCTTTAATCTTTTGTGCTAATCGACGATTCTACATTCGATCGCTTTTCTTCCTTTTTTTGTGAGTGCGAAGTGCACACTTATTTCCAGCTACGAGGATGACGTTTTATTGAGTGTGGAGATGAATAAATCGTTGCTGGCACCTGCTTTAAAGCTTTTCAACTTGCTATAAGAACAGCTGTTTTGGTGTATGCATAGATTAACTGCACCTTTTTTCCCTTTTGCAAAATTTATTGCAGCAATACTTTTTTTTTCATTAAGAGTGTATTGCATTACTCGGTCAATTATTTGCTTGTTCTTATTACCTGGACAAGATGATTCACATTTGTGTTCATCCCTTGCCTGGAGAGCAGTCTTGTTGAAAAATGTTGACCATTCCTTTAGGTCTCTTCAATAGACTTTTTTGAAAAGTGCGGGCTGCCTATACTTCGTATCATTGTAACTTGGAAAAGGGCAACCGCCACAGCCCCCTCGAGCCAATCAGAGAGACGGAGCGAAGGTGTGTGACAAATGTGTGCAGACGAGCACTCTGAATGACATGTTGTCATGTGCCTCTCTCCAACGTGCAAATTGGATCACCGAGACTCTAGCCTTTGCCCTTTGCCAAATCGTGATGAAACGAGTTACAGTAGCTACTATTCTAATTACCCCAGGCTTTCATACTTTGGCCATTTGTTCGACAAGAATGTTATGTCCGCCATAACTGTGAACTCGGGTCAACGCCTATTGGACTGGAATGCTGCATTAGCATTCAACGTGAACTGGGGCCCATTCGTGTGCTTTACGCCGAAAAAAAATGGTGACAGTTGCGTTGCTTGATGGGGTTGTGCAAAGGGTCTAGAGTGTCATGCGTATCGGAAGTGTCCTGCTATACAAGAATGCATCCGTACTATTAAATTAGATGCTCAGAGGTATGTTTGTTTTTGCACTCAACAAGTTGCAGCAATAATTATTTCTTACTAGCGTAATATTTATTTTTGGTAGCTGGGCCTGGTTTGTGCTCATTAATGTCCGTGTGCTTCGATGTTATAACGTGCGTAGCTTTAAGTATCCCCTCTGTAGTGCCTACAGAGGCCCTTGGAGGGAATAAATTAATAAACATTTTCACATCACTGGAGTTGGTTTTCGGACGCGCCACATCTTCAGGAGAAGTGGAACGAGTGCAGCCCAATGCAACCAGTCTGTCAGTTTGGTATGTCACATTAATTAATATTGAGGGGGTCAGAGATGTTCTCAAAAGGTCCAGCACGTGCCGTGAACATAATTCTGAGTAGAGACTCTGAAGGCGTAAAGGCGAGCGGAAATATGTTTATCTGGATAGTGTATCAAATATGTTTATTTCCACTTAATTACATAATTATTGATTCCTAGAAAATGGTTCCATAACAATTTCTTTCTGCGACAGTCCGTGTCAGGCGTCTAGTCGTAGTACTTGTGCTCCTTGTTGTCGGATGACGCTCCTGGCGCGTCGGCGTTCAGTTCGGTCGAGTGGCAGCTTTGACCGACAGATGCCGTCCTGTAATCACACGTCGTGTGCGGCCACTGACATTTGATGCACTGAAGCTGCAGAGCTGGCTTCTAATCCGCAAAATTTCCCGGTGGTTCTCTGCGTCAACGCAACAAGCTCGGGCATGTAGTGCTTACGTGGCTGTGCCTTTTGGTGTAGTGTTGACTTGATGGCTGGCAACAGGCAACAGTGTTTTTTGCTATCCAAGCCATTTCACTTCCATTTCGTAATGGCGATTTTTTTCTGCATCCCGCGACCACTGCAACTTGTGTAAGTCTCGTGTGGCAAAGTGAAGTCGGGTGATGCTTGGTGTCCACTTTTGAGAACAACCAACCATTCTATTTATTCAAATCACTCAGCGGCATTCGCCGTCAAAGATGGAAATTGTGTGCTTCATTGCATGGAAACATATAAATATTGTCGGCATTTTATTAGGTATTGTCCTTGGACAACAACCAACACCAAATCAACTGTCCTTGCATTGCCGCTCATCTGCTTTGTCGTGCTTACCTCCTGTCGAGGCGATGGGGATCAGGAGCTTTGGGGTAATGTCAGCACCAGGGGCAAAGGTCGCCGAAGATAATCCTCAATGTCCCGCGGACGCTCTCGAGACGTGGTCGAAGGTCGTTCGGCAGAAGCTCTTGTAGGCCAATTCATTGGTAACGGCACCTCCAGTAGACATGGTTGGCCTCATGCAGTGGCAGCACAGTGGTGTTTGGTCGACCATTCGCTTCACCTCCGTTTTCCTCGGTGTACTTTGTTCAGCAAGAGCCTACACTGGTTCTTTCCGATGTTGGCAATGCTTCGGCGTTGGGGTGTCTTGTTGAATTGGTATTGAATATTAACTGGTAGCCGGTGGTGAACGTCGTGACTTTGTGGCATAGGTCACCCTCGGTTCGTCAGATGCCTCTTTGCTTGAAGACGTTTTAAGTTGAAATGCCTGTCGAACTTGTACCCAAACAATCTTAGCAATCAAGATAAAAGCTAGGCAACTGATGGCAGAAAGTAGCTTCCTGATATCCTCCCGCAAAACAATGTGGATGATGTTACGGATGCCTGGGAGTCTGGCGTCGAAGTTGCAGCTGGATGACTCGAGTGTTGATAGTGACAGGCTCGGGCTGGGGGATTTGTTGAAACTGACAAGCTCGGCCTGCAGTGTACATTCAAAGTTGGAAGTCTCGGTGTACGGACCCTTCGACTCTTCTCGTGGCGTTGCGGACAATTCTGCCGGAGGTGCTGTCCCTAACATGATTGGGTCGGGATTCTTATCTTCTCGTCTTCTGTAGCACCACGGTTGGCGTAGGGGCTCAATCAGGCGCCAAACATCCTCTACGAAGGGAGCGACGCTCTTGTTGGGGCCGTGTGCTGGACAGAATCAGGAATTCGGCTCTCTCTCGTCAATGTTGGCTGATGAACGTGCACCTCAGCTTGATCTTGCAAACCTCCCATGACGTTGAGGAGGATTCATGGTTCTGAAACAAGTGCCTGACTGTTTTTTCCACTAGAAGTATAGCTTCTGCAGGAGTTGATTGTTTGTCCACCCACTGTGGCGGGAAACACGGTTATATTGTTGAATTCAGCCCTCGACATCTTCATATACCATGCGTGAAAGGGCGTTGGAGTGTGACGTGCGACGGGCATACAAACAATGGTGGGAGTGGACGCGGTTCACAGCTACAGGTTTTTCATTGTTGGCTTAATCAGTTTCGCATTTTTCTGGCAAAAGACCGAATTTTGGTGGTTCCTGCTGGTAGCAGCGACCGACTCGGATTTCAGGTTCTTC